GGAAAAAAAAGATTACAAATAGCAAAGCAGTAAAAACTTACCCACACCTACAAAATCTCCCATTTCTGCAAGGATACCTAAAGTGGGGGGAGAGAGAGAACATCATTTTTGTCTAAGAATAAAACAAAACAAACATAATACGAGAGTAATAAAAAAAACTGCAGAACACACTTGCATAACAGGAAATACTTTCAACGGAGACAATTACAGGGTCACTGATTCAGGAATTTTCGGTATTTCAGTACGATTTCCATCAAATTTGGGCACAGGCCCAATGTGCCAGTTCTATGTTGTCAATCGTGTCCATGTTGATTGGAATGTTGCAAGGTTGTGTGTGTGTATGCTATTCTTTTTACACAGGTTTAGGTTACATATTGTCATACTGCAATCTTTGTTCTTTTGTTTAAACCTAGAATGTATGTATTTTTGGATGAATTTTTAGAAAGGTAGCCTATTAAAACATGTAGTATAGATATCTATGCTAAAACAACTGGGAACAGTAGACATTTCATACAATTGCTCTGATAATTAAATACAAATTAAGAAAAACAGTAAAGAAAGATTTTGATTTTCACGTCCAATCAGTTCTCCCCACGATGAGAGTTCAGTTCAATTGAAAAGTTATTCGCAATTCGGTTCTCTGGGACAGAAAGTAAGTAACAAGTTCAATATGCCGAAGGTATCCAATATTCAAAGCTCGTCACTCCAACCTTGATACAAATTACAAATGCTATTTCTCTCAGTCGATCAATGTAACTAAGAAACTAAATGTATGATATACCTAGTAACCTGACTATGTCCGAGTATACCTCTAGTAACACAGCGACTGAAGAATTGTTAAGAATAATAACGGAACTATTGTAAGTGTTGTAATTGTGTAATCTCAGTCTCCAAGTCATTCTTTATTCTAACTGTAAACTCCTCGAGTTAGTGACTTTTGTGCTCCACTTGCAACTGTATCCTCATTTAAATATATAAGTGTGACTGGTGGTAAAAGTTGAAGCTCCAACACCTAGCCCAAATGCCTGCCCATCACAGTATAAGTTGGCTTGGGACATAGCTTGGAAATGTATGTCAACTACGACTTTGTCCGACTATAAAAGTGAATGTTTCCATAACTCTTTCTCTGAATTTTTAGCTCTTGGTTTTTGTCTCTTGACTTTCTTCTCTTGATTTTATATAAGAAATGCTATTTTTGTAAGAAAATTGATACACATGTTTTAAGGTTTGTTTCTTCATGATTTAGTTACCTTACTCACAAATTAAATATAAAGAGTGCTAATATCATTGCTGGTTTAAAAGCTTACATGTACTATAAGGTAAAATGCCCTGTTGGCATTAACTACATTACTGATATTAATGCCATTATAAGAGAAGAATGCACTACTTTGAATAGTGCTTTCTTTACTCTTCCTCCTGCCATTTGTTAGCCAAAACGTTTATCAAGTGTACATACCATAAGAAAGGGTGCTACTATTACTGCTACTTCCACCACTAATGCTGCTGCCATCTGTATATGACCCTGTAGGTGTTCCACCTGAAGATACTGGTTGGCGATGAGAAAAAAGTCCTATCATTGACCTGCTGTGAGACAACTCTCCTGGTGTAGGATCAGAAGAGTGTCTTGTTTTAAGTTGCTCATTTATGGGCATCCCACAAAAACCTAATATCAAAAATAAATAGTATAATCACATTTTTCTACACAAAAGTGGTAGAAACATTAAAATGTTCATAAAAAGCTGTCAGATTTCTTAACCAGATAATTACAAAAGAAAAAGGAAACCAAAGATGCTGAATTAATTTTTTTTATGTAACCTGCTCTTTTCAGGAAAGAACCACTGAAAGTTTTCTAACATAAAGAATAAAATTACAAAAACACCTGTGAAATATCAAATTTTACTTTAATTTTGTCATGGTTTTACCATTCATTTATTATTCTATCATTTAGTTCAACTATGTATTTTTAGTTATATTATAGTGCTAACTCACCTTCTAACTAGGAAATGTTGAATTTTAATGTGTATGTAAGAAACTGACACAAGCTTCCCCTAGCAGTGACATACAGATATTAATGTTCTGAAAGATTATGTATATTTTATGGTAATAGTTAGTCACATGAGATGTAATATCATGATCTAACCACTAAAGGAAAACTTTTCCTTGATCTTAAATGAGTTAGTTCATGAGATATTATTAGAATTATTGCCAATTATTGCTCGATATTGTTACCGATATTGAGAAGTAGTTTAATTTTAGTGAAAAAGAGTTTTTTCTTCTTCTGGTTCTTTTTTTTAATTCCTTTAGTACTGAAAGTAATAACATCGAGATTTATGTTGTATTGTTTGACATTTGTATCTAGTCTTGGCTAGGAGTGGGTTTACTGGTTTTTTTTCTGTAAGTGATAAAAATTGTAGTTGTTTGAAAGTTTTGTTTTTGATTTCTGTTATTTTTCATTAAATTGTTTTTGTTTGACATTAGTTGTCGGAGGTTTTGTTTTAGTCAATTACAAATATTCCCTTTTGGTTCTGAAAAGCTACTCCATGGAATGTAGTTACTTCACCAATTATATTTGCAACTAAACAGACATTTGAAAAGTAACCTAGAGTTGTTATACTACCTGTTAAGTAGAAAATTATGACATTTTACTAATATAAGTGTTTAAAGATGACTTCATTAGGTGCCCATGTAATACCTATATTAAGGGATGTTATTTTCAGGTTGCTTTGTTAAGAATATTGCTAGAAATCTAAGGAAAGAAATTAATTATGGTTTGAAGTTCAATCTTAAGTTTAAACATTTTAAGTGGTTGTTGTTAAAGGTACAACATTATATATTTTTTTTCTTTTTTAAAATGTAAGGCTAAATTCACTGCTATACCAAAATAATGATAAAATTGTAAATTAATGTACATAATATTCATTTAGTTATGCCTTACATTTTCTTACAGTCATGAGTGTTTAATAATTACTATGTAATTAAGTTATGGCAAAACTATTGTAAAGATTTTCATTTAAAAAATGTGGAGGGCTACATTCCTTAATGTTGGAAACCCAAACATTTGTAAAACAGAATCATATGTACAATCTCTACAGTAACACTTTCTACAACACTGCTGTTTACCATATCATATGAAGCTATAAAGGTTTAACATTTTCTTTCCAAACTTTATTTTAAAGCCTCATTTCAGTTTACAATTCATATTACCGATACTTTTAAATTAAATAACTCAAGATTTGTGCGTATAAGTTCACAATTATATAAATTATACATAACATTCAGGGGTGTAGAAATGAGTTGCAAAGTGAGAATGCTTGACTAAATATGCAGATTTTACAATGTTAGATTGAAAGTAAACGTAGATGATGTGCTGCTCAACCTAAGTGGTCTGGGGGCATGTCCTCCAGAAAATTAATATAATAATATAATTTACAGTTGCTATATATGGCGAATATGTAAGAGTGGGGGTGCTAAAGCATCCCCTGTACCGACCCTCCGACATTTTAAGAATTTTATAATACAGTAAATTATAATTACACATAGCACAAGCAATTTTTTTTTTTTTTTTAGCTTTGCATCCTTGTGCTCCAACATTATTTCGTGATGACGTAGTCCAACATTTTCCCCTTATACTTAGTTTCAATACTTATTAAACAGGTTGTACTAATAATTATTCCGTTCATTTTATAATAATGTCAAGTCCCTACAAATACAATACTCAAGAAAGCTTCAGTTTCAGGTGCTGGATGTTGGGTGTGGTCGAAGGGCTAAGGTTAGTATAATTTACCTTAAATCAAATAGGCTACATAAAAACTTGTACATTTATTGTTCTTGCAGGTGGGTGTGGTAAGCACATGGAAATCGCATTAACAATCGTGTTTTAACCATTTTATGTGAAGGACAACATGACACGAGTTAGTTCCTTTACCTACTACATACCACAATATCCGACTGTAAACCGTATATTTTGTTACTATGTGTCGCTTGGTAAAATAAAAAGTTCACGCGTTTATTTCAAATATTCAAATTTACCAACAATATCCCTCCCCCTATGCCAACTTAAAAAAATTCAAATTTTTTGTTTTTATTATCTAGTTTTATGTAATGTGGAATTGAAATAAATTTAACGTTTTACTAAATGTAGCATATTGTTTTGCCATTTTTTAGTAGATATTTCCCTTATTTTAAAATTTATATTAAGATAAACTATAATTTACTGACTAGCGGAAGTACGTAAAGCAATGCTGTTCACAGAGGGGGAAAAAAATGTTTGAAACCTTTCAGGTATTGATCATATATTCACCGTTTTTATTTAAGGTAGAAGGAGAAAAAGTCGCAAGTCATCAACGGCTGTTACTACATCACAATTTAAATATTCAAAGTCAAATATAAAGCTAGTCTGCTAATTACCAAATAACCACATAAGGAAATATTTAACAACGAATCTCGTCAACCAGAACAATTGTGTAATTTTTGGTAAAATATGGACCACACGATATACAGAAGAATTGGAATAAAATATGGTGACCTGTACGGCTTGATCTGAGGAGAGTTTTTTCATAGATGTATTGGTCATAATGGTTTCTATCTTCCCAAAATTATCAACTTTCATCGCTCTTGTAAAGGCTGTTCAAGTCTTCCTGCGATTCTGTGAACATACCTGGTCTGTAAGTAGACACGCTTCTTTTCGGCCATTTGCCATTTTTATAACCACCAACAAACATTATTATATGGTATTTTTTTATGGTTGCTTTCTCTGCAACTGGCATTTCATCACGATTGCATCCACATCTGCTGTCCTGGTAACATGTCGTCCATTTTACTACATTACACTTCCAAATAAGATTTGAACCTGATGTCTTTGACATCTGTCCTCAGAAATATATGGAATCTTGACAGAAAATATGCTGGTTGAAGTTCTAGGTCTCGTGGATTACTAGCTTCGCGAGAATTTCTATCGATATTGTATTACAATAACACCATGACCTCAAACCAGGTTTAGTACAAAATGTATTAATCAACTGAAAGAGAAAACCATTGTCTTCTCCACTTCTTTTCAGTTCTTGATTTGACGAACATCATCGTTAGATGCTCACACGACAATGCATATTCCATAAAACTTGCAATAATTTCGGAAATAAAATATCGGATGTATGCCTCCTGGTTGACTTACAGCTTTGTTGTTAAATTATTATTTCAATTCATTTGTTTATATTGCTGACCAAGCTTACAAGTTTCGTTTACAGTTTGACTATTGTTATGCTGTTAATTAAACTTTATTGCTATTAATTTAATTCATGAATAGGAAACATTTCGCGGTAGTGGTAGGATTCGTTGTATATTTGGAGGCTATTCGTGATTTCTATGTGCCAAAAAAGTTTTTTATTTGTACGACCAATATTAAATTCTTAATTAAAAACGTTTTGATACTCTTTATAATGGCTTTACTTAAGCCATTAGAATCAATCTAGTCAATCGGTAATGTGGCAACATAATTATGATACTATGTTAAACCCTAATAAGTGGAAACATAATTCTGAATCCCATATCTTTACTCATCCAATTTTACTAACAATCCATTACATGCGTGTCTGTGTTTTAACATCCAATTTTACTAACAATCCATTACATGCGTGTCTGTGTTTTAACATCTAATGTTACTAACAATCCATTACATGCGTGTCTGTGTTTTAACATCTAGCACCCAGAGTTGGCTGGCTCGATTACTATAAATTTTGTTATGATAACTGGAAACTTCTCGACGGTATAGTGTACATGGACTGTTTCGTTTTAGAATTTTTGAGCGAAAAGGGGAGATAAAAGCCCCTGAAGTAGGGAACATATCCAATCTTTTTTTTTTTATTTATTTTTTTTTTTTTTTTTTTTTT